TCATCATGTTTATAGAGAAGACGTAGCTTTTGTGATGTGTTCAGTTTTTTTTTAAATATTATTCCAGTTTCAAAAGGGGCTTGAAATTAAAATGTCTCCTAACCCTTTCGCGACCTTGCACATTGGTTTCAATGTCTACGTCGTTGTAAGTTTTGGACTGTACAACTGGATAATGCGAGTTTCAACTATGCTCCAATGACATGCGGTCAGACGATCCCGATGTTCGAAAAAACCGCGATTGTGAAAGGGTTCAACCCTGTTTAGTGTTCAGGACTGGCTAAAACTGCTTCTCTTCCAATATTTGAACGTACCTACATTAATCTTTGACGAGAATGAAGACTCTCGACCTTTTGCGGCCAATCGATGGCTTATCGAACATAGTTTTTACACTGATGCTGGTCCATGGGCGGCTTGCTACTCTCAGCTACACTTGCAAAGAGCCGTTTCGGAAGGTGAAGTGGAATCGACAGGTATAAAAAACATTGAAGAGACATAAAGGTACGCTTTAACTATCACGCAAAACCATGAGGAAAGGTAATAACATGATGGTTTGATAATGGGTGCTTTTTTCACTACAAGAGGTGTCCAAGAACATGGAGCATGCACATAAGAACAAAATGGATATGTAGAACTTAGGAGGATATATTTATTTATGTGATCTTATAAACTGATCTACTTAAGATGACGCAAGGTTGGTACAGATCTTCGTTGTCGTTGTCGTTGTTTTTGATTTTATTGATCGATGGCTGACGTTTCGGCGACTTCGCCTTCCTCAGAACCTGGACGTATTTTACATTAGAATATTTTTTATCATTCGGTGGAAAAAAAGTTAAAGTATTAATGAAGATCAAACTTCGGGAGATATGGAAGAATACGAGGGAGCGAAACAATAGAACGATAAGCTTAGGAAACGAGCGTACCGTCCCTCTTGCGCGCAGCCTGCATGTCTTGATTTCCATGCGCATTCCGATCGTGCTACAATGACACGCGATATGCCGAGCTCGACACGCAGAAATGGCAGCAGTCGTGGAAGGTTTAATGTATTTGATATCGTTATAGAATGGTGATTGTGAATTTTTACATAGCTCAAGAAGGACCTTTATACATCGAAAAACCACGCTGCGGTTATCCGGAGCTTTTATGAGCGCTTCGTCTCGACTAAATCAGAGGCATTTTCATGTTGATGAAAGAGAGAGAGTAGCCTCTTGTGCTCTGGCAAAACAATAATGAATCTTGTCGTCTTATGGATGTGGTCTCCCGTACCGAATCCTTTTCGAAATTCGGCTAGTGCACATGGTTGTCCTTCGTATAGCGGTGCCAGTCCTCTTCAGAATGACTCGACTGAAGAACTCATAAACTACAAACGGAAAACAGTTTAGGTTATATTTGCTGATATCATGTAAATCTCTTTCTTGTGAGCAGCTCGATCTTGCCAGTCTTCCATTGATTAAGGACTTGTATTTTGACAAATAAAGTTTGAAGAGCCGAAGAAAGAAAACCACAAGGTTGGATAACAATAGACTTAGGCACAAATGGTTCACTAACCTGCCAAACCGGGTTCTCTACGATTCTTCATAGATGAGAGGACATATCCATGCTCTTTATTTCAAATAAGGTCAGGAGGACGTGACTATTGCAGAGATGCGAGTAACAATCATGGATGACTTTCTTTGTAACTGTTCCATCTGAGTGTCGAAGTGGGGTAATTTTGATCTTGTAATTAACGAGGCTCCACCGAGTGTTGCGAATGCTCTTTCCAATCTCTACAATTTCAGACGTTATTACTGTAATCTGCTAATCTCTTTTTAAGATATTCCTTTATCGCATTTATGCAGAGCTTTGCAATTTTTAACCGAAGTTGGTGGTCATGTGCGGCATGTGCAATTCCACATTGGCGTGCGAGTTCGAATTTTTTCTTTGAATCAAGCGTCAGTCGGTAATTTTCGAATTCTCGGTTTTCATAGCACCAACGATAAGATTTGGAATAAACCAGGTAGACATGACGGCAATTTCCCGAAGAGGCGACTAATGATCTTAATAAATCCTGATTTACGATTGTTTTAGGTTTTTTTTTCAGTTTTGCGGTTTTCTGACCTTTTCGCTAAGACGGAAATCTTACGCAAAGGAGTCGATTCAGTCTTGTGTAAAATCTTAGGACGATAACGACATCAGCTAGGCAAAGTCATCGATTTTTTATGATTTAGTGTATTTCATTATTAAAGTTTCCTTTGGGAGATATTCTCGTCCAACGTTGTTAATGGGGTTTCCGGAATTGTACACTACCGTAACTCAAACAGCTGCAGGCGCTATTCGTTCCATTTCGGTTTGCGGGTGTAATATTCTTTAAACGTTCTAATGTGTTCAATTTTAGCGTTGAAATTACCTGTGGCAACCTTAAAGAACATGCGGTTTTCTCTATTGTACTTTCCGAAATCCATATAGGATGCTTCAACCGCCGCTTCGTAACAGCTTGATCTGGAGTTGTAGACAACGAAGATTGTCAACGGTGGTGTTGATGCATATCTCTTCAATAATAAGCGTCTGATTTCCGTTGTTATTTGTTGGAAAGAGTTGATTTTCATGGGCAGATCCGTGTTGATGAGAACTTCAACGCTGCCGACTCCATTGTTATCACATTTTTCGAGGAACAGCTTTTCTTCCTTATCATGGGTGGCGGTAAATTGGTGACATCTTATTGTCTCAGCTAGTTTTTCCCATTTAGTGTATTTGTTGTATGCGACTACTAAGCACGTGCTATGCTCTCCAATTACTAGAGTGCAGGCTTTTGCCTGAATTCACCCGTAGAATACATTCGGTCCACTCGTGAACACACCCATGTACACATTCGTGAATATGTCTACGTATATACAGAAGATATGTGCCAAATCAGCGCAGCAAAAAGAGCTAATCTATTTCTCGGATCTACTTGCATCTCAGGGAGAAAGGTTCGCTTTTGTTCTGCGTTTAACCTCCTATCCACCACAAAGTCTCTCGATTGCTACGGATCCGTTGGTGAAGGAGATCCGACGAATACTTCGTCATCAGTATTGCTGCTAAAAAAATGGCTGCCATTTAATCTAAGGAATATTTTCTTTAAATGGTTCTAATTAAGAAATATATTTGTTTCTGTTAATGACCTGAGTTCGCATATTGCACTGATACCACTTCGGAAGCCCGGTCGAATTGAATCTTCTTGGAATCTTGGGATAACTACCCTGGAGCATTATTAGATCTTCGTCACAGAGTTAGTTTCCGGCCTTGTAGATTGGGGAGTTTTCGCAAGATTGATTCGATGCCAAGTTAAAATAAGTGAAGAGTACAGGTTCTTATAATGTATTTCAATTCGCTTGATTTTCTGACAGCTCCAAATTTTCTCATTTTCCAGAAATTTTTGGTTTGTTTCAGAATCGTGTTTAATAAGACAGACACTTCACACTTAGCAATTTCCCATTTTTGTTCCATCGTTTGTTTGGTTGCCATTCAAAATTGTTTGCGATCACTATTGAGGTCGTCCACCATAAACGCAAAGATTATTACAGCTGGACGCTCCCGCCAGTTGTGCGCGATACGATTCCCTCGTTTCGTAAGATAGAGAAGGAATTGATGCCTCATCAACCCTTCTGATGTAAACAGTTGTTTAGGTTTGTATTGTAGCGTTCAAGTTCCACATAATTGAGCCCAACCGTGAATTTTCCACTAATGTGCGTTTCTTACTGTTTAATTCAATTTCACCTACCTCATCCTTTACATGTACTTTGCGCATCCTAGAATTTCTTTCGTGCGGAACGTTCTCATGCATCCGTCATGCATGGAAGCATTTGCACTCATGTCTGCCTTCGACTGCTGCTTGAGGATTCGTAGTCTTCTTTATGAATCGTTTTGAATGCTAGTCGAGACGATTCTGCTACCCGAAAGGTGGTCTTGGGACAACTGTATTGAGGCGTTCATAGGTCTCTTAAATCCGCAGGAGATTCTCAGACAAGTTTCACATCAGTTTCCCGACTATAGAGAGATGGTGAGCATGATTGGCAGAGATGTCGAAACAGGGCTTGGCGAGTATTGAACTACATCACTGCCACCGTGCTATCCACAACTTATTTTCTATGTGCATTAGTATGCATTTCTCAGTGTTTCAAACCATGTATAACTTTTTATTTACTACCTATTACTTCTTTCCTCATGGTAGGTTATTATGTTAAACTGGATTCATTGCCGATTTGTTCTCACCAGATCATGCCCATTGTTTGCCGATGGCACCGTTACGGTAAAAAAAAAACTAGCTGAGAGAAAAGTAAAGCAAAGCAATGGTCCAAGCGGTGCAGTGGGTAACACGTGGGTCTGGAAACCTGGAAATGGTAGTCACGGATTCGAATCTGCTCTGCGATCTGAGTTTTACAAATATCTCTGCACTGTTGTGGTTATATTTCACCTAATCCCTGCTATGAAAAAAATAATAGGCAGTAAATAGAAAGTTATACAATCTATTGTTTATTTTAATCGCTACGGTTATTCTATAGAATATGTGAGTATGAAAACTCTGAAAAAGACTGAAGAAGAGCTGCAAAATACTTCCAAATGCTGACAGCAAAGCATTTACAAAATGGCCATAGAGACACATAGTGAATAGTGACATATATATCACTCATACGTATAGAGCTATAGAGCAAAGTTTCTTTTCCAATTCTGGCTTGTAAAAGCTTCTCGAATCCTTTATTAATGGAGGAGAGGTTTTTTATTGTCAAAAACTAGATAGTCTGTAGCCGATGGAAAATCGCGCTCAATCATTTGGCCCGGCCACGGGAAAGGCGCCGGTGCGGACTGGGTTAATAATGTCTTCGCCACCAACAACGCTCTGTGTGTTAGATGATATCCTAGTAGTCTGTTTACCATTTTTAGAACAAAGTTGTGTGAAAAACTGTTTTTTTTATTTTGTAGTCTATTAACTGGAGAGAATAATTTTTGAGGCAGTTTCTTCTTCCAGTTTGTGCGTTGGGTAAGGTATGCCTTGCGTACGACTACGCGATTACGCTGTAGCTTATGTGCACAATTTGTAGGAGTAATACAATTTCAAAGATCGAAGACAACCCACCAGTACGTAGTTGGAGCATTTCGCTACACGATTAAGGTGGTACGTCTAGACGATTCTCACTGTTTAACGATTCCATTGCTCAATGATTCCTACTATCCATGCCATTCGCTAATCGATCGCAATGGTTCAGCATTCATTTGGTTTGCTAGTGAATTTGGTTTATTTTGGTAACTTGCCAATTTGGTAAGGTCCATTCAAAGTAAAACAAACGGAAGATTTTTCCATTTGAAAACTTTCTGATTCCTTATAATTTCTCTCTTTTTCTGGGCTTTTCTATGCTCGTTCGATTTTATTTACAAAATTACCTCTATTTCTGAAAAAACCGCTCAACATACTTCTCATATTTATGTTGCTGTTTTATGGAAGTTTCAATGCAAAAAGAAGAAAATAACCATTATGATATTCCATATGATTTTACTAGGCATTTGGTGCCAAATAGGCTTGTGGGAACAATCATGAAACATGAATCAATCCAGCACGTTCAGAGATTACTTTAGCTCACTATCTAAATACCTTTCATGACTGTTTTTGGCAATTTTTAAATGTAAAAGTCCAATGGTGAAAAGAGGGGATGTAGCGCCGCTTGCATGATGTGAAGGTTAAGATTGTTGTCATGGTTGAGCATGAATGTTCCATATATGGATAAATATAAGTTCATCGTCGTTATGAGAAATACCTGTTATATTTTGTTAATTCACGTGGAATGGATTCACTGATTCTTTCCTGTGCACCATGCGAAAGTTGAGTCTTTATCATTCTTTTATTTCCTTAGTCCATCGAAAATATCCATCATTTTCTCTATTAGAAATGTTCTGTTTTCATTTTGGCTAAGCCCTAGGCTCAGAATTCCTTACGACAGGAGTACTTCTCTACTGATGAGTTCTATTCAATCATTCTCTATGTTTTCAGAGATGGTTCGCTTATCGTTCAACCAGCACAGGTGACTCGTCACAGTACGAGTAATCTTTTCGAGTCTTCTGAACTTGCAAGTGGGTGCTAGGAATGTAGATTCACCGTTCTATAAACTCGTATTTTTCCAGTTTTTACCCGCTGTTCTCTAGTGCTCTTAGATTTAGTTTCTTTTTTATTTGGTCCACATAAAACTGCATTTTTGTTTAATATTTTAATGGAAGTGATATGACATTTTGCAGACACCTCAGAGCACAACGAATCTCAGTCAGATTTCATCTCAAAACGTCGAAATCTACCGATATACAGTCCCAGTAAGTCCATGATTAATCTGAGGGATATGTCGCCATCTGCACTTCGAGATCATGAAGTGCTGACTGACCAACTTGACCGCCCAACCAGGAAGAATCGAAGTTGTTGGGGTGACCCACAACCCAATTGGAAACTAAAACAAGGTGAGTGCTGTTTTGCGTTATCGAAAGAAGCTTGTTTGCCTGTGCCTTTAGAAATGTTTACCTTGCAAATTATGATACGTTGTAGAAACGTTGTGAATTCCTCTTGTTTATATTAACCACTTAAGGTCAGAAATCTTCCACTTATTTCTGTACCATTGGTTATTAATGATTTTTCTGCTTTATTGTTATAATATTACTGACTTATAATTGCTACAAACACAGCATTCGTACATAATAATCAGCATAAATTGATTTCAAATCGTAAGAAGGCCTATCTAAGGTAAACAAACTCGATCACCAAAAACGCACATGAGATTCCGAGTTTTGCTCATATCCGTGCATCATTGTCAACATTTCTCGGTTCATAATAAAGAAAATTAGTTGCAAAAAGTACTATATACAAGAGTTTTGTTTCGTATTGTTGGGCTTATCGATTTGTATAATTACCCAAATCTGAATAGAATTCGGTTTTGTCAAGCAGTCGGAATAACTAGTAGGATTCCATGCTGGTCTAGAAGGAGTTGTTCGTAATGCAAAAAATCTTCCTCTGGTGGTAAATACTGATAACTGCCTCTGGTAAAGCCCTGGGAACATTCGAGCATGACTGTCTCATGATATGGAGAAAATTACGCCCTGCGTGTTTAAAAAAGATGACAGACACTAGATAAATACTAGAAGGATAATAGATGTAGAAAGTAGCGTTATATCCACAAAACGCCACGGTGATTGTATGCAATCATGTCCATACAACTTCAGATCAATTTTTTCCGGTTATTAACTTCATATTCATCTAGATGCCGTAAACCGCTTCAAATACCGTATGATCGCACCTTATGAAGTCAAAGTAAGAAACGCTGTCACAAAGCAAATAAATGGTAGAGCAGTTCACATCTTAAGTGAGATATGTATTCTTTCTTGATAAGCTCGAAATATTAAGTGAGATAGTTCCATCGCTTAGTGTTGATGGTGCTTTACTTTTCGTGCACCCGTCTGCAAACTAAATCAAACTTCATTCTGATGAAATCCCCATTTCCATTCTACGCCATGCTCTTATTCACCAAAAAAAAAAACTGTACTACTGTGTTAATTAGTTGGTGTGTTATTTCCTTCCCTTTTGGACCAACTACGGTGATATTTCTATAGGTGCCGCAGCTCATGATCTCACGCTTGCGTAGTTATACCGTTCACACCAATAATAATACTGCCATAACGAAGGTTTTGAAGTCCAATTCATTCAGCTTTTTCAGCATAAGTAGGGAGACTTATGGCCGCGCCTTATCGTGGGAATGGGTTGGTCGCTTTCTTTTGACCATTATAGATAACAGCTGCTGTGTAGAATGGGGTCTTTGATCCTTGATGGTTGACGTAGCTCAGTGCTTAGGACACTACCTTCGGCTCATGTGATGCGGAATCCTCCTAGCATCGTCCTTTTCGTCCAATAACGCTGAATGATCTTTCGCACTGCTTATGCAGCAAGCAGGGTTTTGACGCATACGTCAAGGCAGAAAATACCGTTGAGTCAAAAAGGTGGACACGGAGTCGGGTGTTATTTGTCCTTCACTGCATTCTCTGTGTTCTTGAAACGTCCTCAAACCACTGGCTACCTTCTGCACAGCTCGAGCTAGCTCGAGCTCGAGCCGTTCTTTATGTTCATTTTAAGAACTTCATAGACGTAACTGGAGCATTCGGAGATGTTCATTCTTTTGAGCGTGAATGGCCATTGCGAAACCAATCCATTGCTCATGAACATCATTTTTGTGAGATATAGTTTAAGATCACAGCGTTATCAAAGTCGGCAAGCATTCGTTCCACCTGGCTGTTGCTTGATGTTATAAGAACAGTATCATCAGCAAAGATCACCTGTATCACCTGTAGTCACGTTGATCGTCAAGTGACTCGAGCGGGCGCCAGTAAGACTTCTATTTTTCCCTGTTGCGTTGTTGCATGCAAGTGTCCCAGTGGGTTCTGCTCGCTCCGGGGACTCACTGAGCATCGTGTTTTCCTTCTAGGATTTTTGTGAAGAACTGTGACTATCAAATGGGCGGTTTTTTGTAGTTCGATTGACATGCCAAGGAATCCAGATACTAGAGACCGTTGTCTATCGGTTATCGTTATACACATTACGTGTCCGACCCACCTTATCTTCTACTGTTTGGAGTACAGAACGGCGTCTTTGATTTCTGATCGTTGACGCAGCAGGTCGGAGCTTCTGGTCCCTTCCATTTGCTTGAGTCACACGGAGTACTCCTAGCATCGTTCTTTCGACTCGGCAAAGATAAGATGGTGTAATTCTTGACCATCGATTTCCACTCCATGTTCTTCCATTCCAATCTTTGAATAACGTTTTCGAGGGTTAAATGATTTTGGTGATATGGCCTTGCCTAACCACTGTTTTGACGTCAGTGTTAATATTTAGCCTTTGATATCCTATTTAAAATCTTCACGAGGGATCAACAACACTGCTGCTCCAATAACACTGCTCAGTGGAAGGCGAAGTCGCCGAAAGGCTGGCCATTAAACAACGACAACAACATCCATAAGAACATCTATACCAACCGCATCAACTAATCAAGGGCAGTTCGTAAGAACAAATATATAAATATTGAGATATTTGGAAGGCCGAGAAAAAAAACAAAGGAAAAAGAAGAAAAAAAGCTGGCCAAGGAAAAAGCAAGGGTCTCGGTGGTTCAGTGGGTAACACATGAAGCCTCGGAAAGGATAATTGCTGGTTCGAAGCTCACCTGGAATTCTGAGTTTTACTTTGGAATTCTTAGCTTTCCTAGCGCAAATGTGAAGTATCAACAACCACAATTTTGCTGAGATATTTGCAAAATTCTGGACCGCTGGTGGCTGCAGTGTGGACCGAACACGCTGTTACCCTTTCCGGGGACTAACGCGTGCACCACTTCACCATGCGAGTCCTTCCTTTTCTTGTCTCTCAGCCATGTTATTGACCTATACGCGCTATCAGCAGTTTTGAGATTTCGTTTTTTGAAATCAGCGGCTCTCTCTAACCTCCACGAGAAATGGAACCTTTCAGAAGGAAGCGCTGGTCTGATCACGTGCAGAATTTGGGACAACAGCGAAATTTGTTAGGTAAAGCCTTCGATTTACTATGGCGTGGTCTGTTTCGTTGTGGTACTCTCACTGGAAGACCCTCACGTCTAGCGTTGGGTGTGAGGCTTCTGGAATTGCGAGTTACCATTGATGGTCTTGGTAGTCATGATAAACTCGGGCACCCGCTCACACTGTTCGTTCCATTCTAACCGTAGGTCCCAATGTGACGTTCTTCAGGCTTTCTCCTGGGTCCAGTCTTAGCGTTAAAGTCCAAACAGTCTATTGATGTCCAAAAAGAATGTTTGGCATTTTCTGCAGAACTTCACCAAATTCATGTAGAGTACTTCGACTTTGCCTTCATCATAGCTTGGTGTCGGTGCGTAAATGACGAGGACTCTCAAAGCCGGTATTAATCTACACCTCTTCAATCGTAAAAGTCCGATTTGGGATGTTAGTTCTTCGAATGAATATGTTAATGGCGAAACTTGTGTTGGCGAGAGCACCCGACGCCGCTGATTCCTCTATTGTCATGTGTTCTGGGGAATATTTCTACCCTGGTGTCATAGACTGCGTTGAATAGTTCGCGTCTTCTTGTCTTAGCCATTCCGATGACGACATGCCTTATTGTCCTTGCACGCATGATCAAGTCCTCTATAGATAGCTCATATGTGAGTGAACGTGTATTGTAGGTACAGATCGTCACCTTAGTCCTTTGCGGTTTAGGCAGCCTAGAGTGACCCTGGGATTTTAGCAGCCTCTTTCTATTAGCTTTACCCAACGCTGCCGTATCTGGGGTTGTTTCGGGGGTTCAGGGGAGTGAGGCCCACTAGTTTTACTTTGTTTAGCATTTAATGCCCACTTTTAGCATCCCGAGCTCTGACGTGGGGGGTTGAAATATTCACAGGCAGCTTTCCAGTCTGTCTTAGAGTATACAGGGAGCTCATTTGTTCAAGGTGGCTCCTAATTGCCCCCCATGTGGTACCAGGCCACTTGGTTGGAGGCGTTCGACGCCATTTAGTTCGTGGAATACAATCGGCACAACACATAACACCCGAGCACGCATGCATTAATACTTCCTCGTAAATACAGAAGGTATGTCGCAACTTAAATAGGGATTCCATTCCCTGGATCCACCTGCGTCTCAGGAAAGCAATGGTCGCTTTTGGTCCACTATTAACCCCTATTCGCCACCTGGGGACACGTTATGTTGCCTGTCGACTAACTGGCAGGAGATTTCTCTGTGAAGAAGGCCTACACGTCGCAATGTAGTCGAGAAATGGTTCGTTTTGGTTGCGCGGAAGTAGCGCCGAATTTACCTCGTAACGGCAGATTCGTTGATTGTCGCTCAATTCGTTACAGCACTGATTTATAAAGCTTTCTCTAGTTGATATGCTTACATCGAATTTTTCTGAAAATTCTCGAACAATTTTGAATGCGTTCACCGATCATCAGATTTTTACTTCATAGTCGTCAGTAGCAGAGGAACGTCCGCTAACTTCCTTATCTTTAACGTTTAACATCGAATTCACCAAAACAAAGTTTTCCAACGCTGCGTTGAACTGGGCGTTTCTCAACACTTCCTTCCCGTAGACGTCATTAGTATACCGAGCTATTTCTGCTCCTGCGTCCGATTTTGAGTTGGTAGAAGTAGGTTTTTCAAAAATTCACTTTTGATATCTGAAGAAACCCTAACCGTTAAAACATGTCAAGCACACCATTTGTATTATAATTAAATTATACACAGTGTAAGTGTATAAAATGAGCCTTTTAAATAAATAAATAAATAAATAAATATATATATATATATATATGATAGCACTCCATTCGAAGAAAACGGTTTTTTTTTAAAACGTATGCAAGAAAAATGAAGTGATAAATCGGACTAACTTCTGAGCAACCTAGTAACTTTCTGAACCGTGAGTTATCATGAAGGACGTGTGCTGACGAAAACTTGAGTAGTTCCTTTCTGTCCCGCCTTCACTCCTTATGATGTGTTATGTTCTTCAACAGCGGTTAACTTCTTGTTGTTGTCATGTCTTGAAGTGCAAGTGACTGGAGTGTTATAGTAGTTGCAATTTCAGAATAGCTGAATTACGATTTGGGGTGTTTAATAAAGTTGAACAAATTGTGTGTGCGTAGCATCGTTAGAAATTATCTGTATGTCTCTTGTTTTTCTTGTTTATTGGTTTTACAAGTTTTACTATGTAGTACATTGCTGCTCCCAACTGTTTACCGCCTCATCATGGCTTAGAGGTGTTCCTAGGTGTCCAGCTGCGACGTACAGCGCGGGGAATCATCTACCTGCTAGGGTCTCCCACGCCAAAAGGAGTTCGGGGTTTTCATCTGGAAGCCCAGCTAAGAGTAAACCAATACCAGGATCCGTCACCGTCCTGGTACCAACCTAATCGCATGGTGGCAAATGGCCCTCTGATCCACAAGGCCGGCAACTGCCTGTAATGGTGACGACCTGGGGCAGACTTTGGCCCGTCTGACCTCGGGACTCCAGAGAACCACAATGGCTAAATCAGCAGAACCCTGAAAAATGGGGATTTTGCTGGGAGCCGCACAACTAGTAAGGACGGGCTGTCCAAGTATCCAAGTACTGTGTAGTACATTGCTATGAATATCGTTCCGTTATGTATTTATTAGATCGCACAGACAACGAGTAAAATCAACATTTACATGGTAGCAAATCGCTGTTATTTAGCGGGATGCTTCAAATTTTTGTTCTTGTAAATACTCTCGTTTTTGCTTATTTACTTTATTAACTCTTTAACTGTTACGGGAAAACAAGTTTCATCTATGTTCTCATAGCTGCTTTAAATTACTCTGTAGTTTAGGTTGTGGCATTGACAAAGTTCAGTACCATTTACGCTTTCATAGTTATACAAGTGCTATCCTCATGTATGATACTCAACAATCTCTTGTCACTTGCACATTCATTTCACTATTCTGAATAGTTCCCTTACTTTTTCGCAATATAGAGTAACTCCTCAATTGGCTAAAATATCGATTTTTGGTAGAAATTTTTGATCTACAGAGTATGAGGTTTGAGAACGAATGTGTTACATGTTTAAATACTCTGAAGAGTTACTGAACCTTGTCATACATTGGCTCCAAAGCCTAGTTCAGTTTTCTTTAAGTACATTGATGTTACAATTGTGGCCATCGTTTATCGGTAATAGTTTAATAATATTAATAGATTGGCTTTCTTTTTGAGAACTATCTTGTCTTACTATGCAGTGCACACCTACTTCTTTTGCCCAGCACTGAAATACCGTCATTGAAAACGACGTGCGTGCGTGTGCTGAGAGGGGGTTATCATAGCAACGCATGCAGCACATTATTGAGCACTGTTCGTTCGCTCGCCACCTGGATATCGAAGGGCTTTCAAAAGCGATCGCCAACAACACATACATCTAAACATTCGCTTTTCTAATGAGACTCTATAGGAAGAGTGAGTTGTCTTTTGTCATCGAATAGTGACACGTCTTTATTGCTGCTTTTGTCGTTGAATGACATTGAAAACTGCGAAATGTGTTTTCTTTTTGACGTAGTTAGGATTTTCAATGGATATCATCACCTATTGTAAATGGCTATAAATAAGTATTGAGCCAATAAAGTCAACGTATTATAGCCCATTCTACCTAGCTAATGTCTTGGTTTCGTTTGAAATTCACGAATTGACAAGAAGATATCGAAGATTTGAACGAATTTGTGTGTAATGAGGAGGCGTTGACATTGAAAGCAACCATTTGACGACCTTCACGTATCATAGATTTTTTCCGATGCCAATTTCGCGTATTTCAGAATGGGAACAGACTTCTGGCACCAAGATATTCCACCCTTCCACGATGTTATCAGGAAATCACATGTTCGGTGAGTTGTGGTTCTTTTTTCTTTACGTTTTCCAGAGGTACGAATGCATTGTGCTTTCGAAATTCGTGATGAACATTTAGAAATTCTGGGATACGTTTCTGATTAGGAAAATCAACTGTAATTTGTCATAAACTGAATAGAACTTCACTGAAAATCTGTTCAATTCATTTCTGTGTTGTTTGTTCAGTATCGACAATGACCTCACACTTTTCAGAGAGTAGCCTTCAAGTAGCACGAGCGGATCTCGCCGTCACTCCACAGTCGACGCGAACGCCGCAGCCGCTGGCGACATCATCAAGTGCTTCGCGACTGTCGCGTTTCACGCCATCGATTCCTTCGTCACAGTCAGCCATGTCCCAAATGGCTACAATAAATAGGAAACAACAACTGGGCTTCCATCACGATGCCCTCGATCGCGTCAGTCCTAGCGTGCGAAACAAGCATCAGGATGTACAGGTAGATGCACTTTTATTCAACTCAATGACTAATATTTCGTTTATTAAAAATCTTAACATCTCACGAAACACCGGATGTATATTTAACGCTTCGTGTGGGAACGTCCCTCTTAGTGTCACATATTTTCGAAGTCAAATTTTTCCTTCCTGATAATCATCCGTTATTTTCAATGACATTTTTCGTTAACATTTGTTCAGCTGCCGTTCAATACTGACTACGTGAAACTTCCTGTTGTTATTGTTGGTAGTAACGCTCATCACCCATAACGATAGAAGCAAGCGAATTGTGGCAAAATTCACGTCGAATCAGCAAAATAGATATTTTGGTGTTTAAAAATATTTGAAGTTAACGTTGAAAAAATAGAATACCGAAATCTTTCTGTAATTTAAGCCTCAAACCGTCTGGTCACCGAATAAGATGACACCCAAGCGCGCAACGTCGAATATGCAAAGCATTACACCAACAGGAGCAGCTGCTAGTGCTATCACCAGACGGCGTAAGCATAGTTTTCGTTTTTTTTTTAATTTTTAAAGTTTACTCATTTTCACAGTGTGATCTGTGTAGTTGTCTCTTTATGAAGCTATTCATTCTTAGGTATTCGTCCAAAAAGCACTCATTGTTACGATTCACCTATTCACTTACAGCTTTCACTGCGCACTAAGACTAGCATATCCATAATTGTATGGTTCGTGTTCAGTTAATATGAGATTAAATGATATCATCATGTCTAATTCTTTTATGGGAATTGGGTATTGCACTGATCAGTAGGGATATTGGCAATGTTCCTCTCTGCTGAATGAACCCAGTTAAGCTGAAGCTTTAGTTATTTGTTTTATACTTGTTTTATTTATTTATTTATTGTAATAGTTCCAGGATCGATTTTCTATTAGCCTCGGCATTGGAATATGAATGTGTCGTTTTCTTGTTCAGCAATCGCGAGGTTTTTAAACAGCATACATTTACTTCCAAAAAAAAAACAATACAATACAACGCTGAATCAGCTGTTCTAAACTTCTTCATTGGAAGTCACGAAAAAAGCGGCTCTGAAAAAGGCGATACTGCCGAAACGTCAGCTCGCGTTGTATTGTATTGTGTTCTTTTATGGAGGTAAATGTATGCTGTTTAAAAATCTCGCGATTGCTGAACAAGAAAACGACATATTTATTTATTATTTATTTTTCGTTGCCGATTTAGGCTCCCCAGATCAATCCCGCTGATGGGTGATTGCTGCTGGCATAAATCAATAGAACTAGCTGAGAGACAAGCGAAACGAAGGACCTGCATAGTGTGGTGGTGAACGCGTTACTCCCCGGAAAGGACAATAGCGCGTTCGTTCCCCACCGTAGACATATGCGGTCCGTAGTTTTGCAGATATCTCAGCATCATTGAAGTTATATTTCGCTAGGCAGTAAATAAAACGGTTAAGATTGTAATTATAACTAAAGCCTCAGCTTATAAGGATGTGTTCGGATACGAAGTAATTTCATTTTTATGGTCAGAGCTTTATTTACAAGTTTCCTATTCTGCTCGCTCACCTGTTCACTGTTGCAGGTTCTGTTGATTGTCTCTTTCCCATTAACATCAACTAACGCTATCACATTATGTGACAAACCCTTATGTTTCATTTTTTACAACTTATTAACTGTTCTTAACCGCATTGAACCTCTGGCTCGTACTCGTACTTTTTTCTGTCTAGCCTAAGCGCCTACTTTAACACCTCCATGCGTAACGATTGCTAGAACTGAAGTCCTATCCATAAAACTCACTAATGAGTAATCAGGTTTTGCTTCCATTTAGAATCAGACAAATTTCACGTTCGATTCACTACACGGAGAGAGAATGTTGAAATGAGGACGGACAGACGACAGTACTTATCGTTGCCTCGAAGTCAATATGCTGGTAGAGGTGCCTGTAGTGCTTACATGCTCTTCAGATGCATTTCTTAACTGAATTGCTTTCACTTGCAGAAAAAAATTGCAAAAACCATCTTTATGTTGCTCGTACATTTAGTACAAAGAAAGTTATGTTTGCTTTCCACCATCGGGCTTCTTAGTTCTTTCTTCCTTGTTTACCTTTCGCTGTGTGAAATAGTTTCCGTTGCTCTGATTATTCATCAAGGTCAAGGAAATGGTTTCATATGTGCAACACCTAGTTTTCTTTCATTTTCTGGTTTAGTTAAAAAGCAGTTTTTTCCTTTTTTTTCTTTACTTCCAACTGATTTCCTTGGCACAGCGCTTTGATGTCTTACACGCTTGCCTTGTAGATGGATAGGAGCTCATTTTTATTGTCCGGCTGCTTCAATGTTTTTTTTTTTCGCAATAACAATATCATCACGTTTTTTTGGGATTGCTTTAGGTGTAGGCATTATCGGACATTGTCGTTCTCCAAAGTGTCCTTAATAATTCGTTAATTGAGTTTGGTCCAAAATCTTCGTCTATTATGGAGAACAACATTATCCATGAAACTTGTTACTTTTATTCCATAAAGGATAAAAAGGATAAAGCTGTCGGTGTTTATTAATGGCTTAGGGATGCTCCATGCATTCGACTTCATTAAGCATCATTTGGAGATGTTTAATGCATACCTGGCCTTTACAAGGACTCGCAGTGTATCCAGCCAGGGCTGCTATCCTCCCAGACCGGTCTGGTACCAATTTGCCGACCAAAGGGGATGGAAGGTTTGGTGGGCCATGGGCGTGGGTATCGATTCCACGTGTGTGTTGCAAGGCGCCTCAGACCATTGTGCCGCACGCACCCCTATTACATAGGTATCATAAAAATTCGTCAGAAATATTATATTGGTGTGACGAAGTACGCTGGAGGTGTAATTGAGCAGTGCATATAAACCATTCCAAATTCGTGCTATTAGTTCTGCCGTTGCGGTTTGTAACCTACTCACTAGTGCGTACTTTTATAAGCCTTATTTATGGTAAGATTTGATTTGTTTCTTCTCATCGCTTTCTTTTGGAAGAAGCTTTTCTTGCGGTTATGTTGGGACTTTTCTATGGTCAACGTTCAGCATATTCTGGTTAAATTCCATTTAGTCGAAGTCGAAGAACAAAATTTTGAACAGATGCTAATACACGCAGCGATAGTAAGTGACATTGTCCATCAACCCTAATGGTTAGCTAAATACACGGATCACCGCTTAGTTCATTACGGATTTCATGGGAGTTTCTGAATATTGCGTTGATTTCTCAATCTTTCTATAATTCTGCTTGCGTTTCGAATAAGTTTGAAGCTATTCTGTCGGATGTTTAGGCCTTTATATGCCTTATATCTCTTAGGTGTGTAGTGGTAGCTTTCTCTAGGTCTATTACATTGTCGTAGTTCTGAGATTGTTGAAGATTCGTTACCTGGTCACTGTTGATAGCTGTTGTTTAGAAGATGGCATTAACGAATCTGCTTTACATCTACGAAGTCGAAGTCAGAGTCCAAATCAAATACTGCTCCATCAAAAAGACGCTTCGCGTCCAGCTCCCAATTCCACTAGTCGCGAGTTCGCGGAGCTTCATCGTCGGAGGGTAGATTTCACATTTATAAACATTTATGGATAGTTGTAGTTTTATTGTCTTCTAATTATAAAACAATTTTTTATAATTTATACACTTTGTATAAGAATTTCTAGAGGTTTGGATTTGAGTCAAAATTTTCTGATTGTTACACTTTTTTCCACAATATGTCCAATTCACGTAAACGAAAATGATGCCCCACTGTATGCTAGAAATTTTTGAGAAATAAATGAAACATTGAATATTTTTTTAATACTTCTGTTTATTATGTAAATAATCCCAGTAGTCAAAGGCTTATTGTTCGCATCCATTCAATATTTTTAAATTTGATGAGTATTCATATTATTTTCTGTTTAAAGAGAAACGCAAAGGAAGTTACATTAGAGCTCAGAAATAAATTTATTGCGCAGGACACCGACTTGTCATACGCACCGGTTTCGACCCGACTCACTCCAGCAAGCTCGCGTTCGAATTTGCGTGGCGCAGGAGTCGAGAGCGGTGACCTCAGGAAGAGTACTGAGAAATTAAATCGCATAGCAGTATTAAGAAGCAAGTACGTTGACTTGTGTTTTTTTTTCAGTAAACTCCTCTTCTTTTTTAAAGGAATCCACAACATCAGGCTGATGGTTGAACAGGTTTGATTGGAAATAAAGAGTTTGCGAAACTTGTCAAAAGGACCTCACGTACAACTCTGTTTATCATTCTGGTGTTCACAAGTTTTCTATTCGCCTCTGTTGCAAACCAAACTTGTGCGCTGCGCTCGCTTAGGCATGAAGAGAATTGCGGTTTCCTATGGTACCCGTTATTTTAGCTGCTTTTGATGAAATGACCCTTGAATCAGCCACCTTCGCTTTGCTGCTTAGCTAAATGTGCTCACGACGTTTCGGTATCCTAAGTGTCTTGAATACTTGGGCGTGAACGTTGAACTTGTTTACAGAAGGTAAGGAATCGAAGCATAAGAAAGAACCAATCTCCTGAAACTATCATCGTCTCATGGCAACATCGTCGATTTTGGTGGTTGGGCGTTGTTTGTTATAGGTCGAAGTCGATCACATGTGAAAAGCCCAAAGAAAACAGCATTGATCATTCGCGTTAATTTTGTCTCCATGACTATTGCTGATAAGTTTGTTACAACTGAAAAATTCAAGGGTTAAAAAAGTTTTAACGTATGTAAAAGACTATAACTCATCCTAGTGGTATGAATACCTTTTTCCAAAATGTTCTCTTGAAACTTTCACCCAAATGTATCCACTTAATTTGTCGCTACGTTAGAATAAATTACCATATCCTTCAAAATACCAGCCTTGTTGAGAAATGCGAAAAGCTTTTGAGTTCTAAAAGATTGGAATTTTATCCTTGTAAAATAAGAAAAGACTTGTTGGCGAAGATCTATAATTCTTATGGTTTTTAATCTTTACGAGCAACTTCAACTTCTATGTGTAGGCTGGTAGCATATTGTTAGGGATGCCGTTGTAAGGCGCTTACTCGATCCCACACTGGACCTACCAAGCCTCCCAGTCCTCCCGGGTCGAGAAACTGGTACCAGTCACGTTTAGGACCAGTTGGCTCCTACCAGTCCACAAAGATGGCGCCTTCCTATGGTCAAAATCCGTGGGAGCTCTAGCACGGCTATCCTAGGATGTAAAGAGGAGTAAACTTGGTCAGCATACAGTAATATTTATAAAGAACACCAAAACTCATCAAGCAGGAGCGGAAACGGCATGTAAATCTCAAAAGTTTTCGTGAAACCTTAAGTCCGAATCTATTAACCTTGGCATTGATCTGTAATTCGTGGGTTTTTTTTGTTCGGCACACACAAGATTGTTACTGTATTATTTATGTATCCACAATTGCTGGCGTTTTCGCCGAATTTCGCCTTTTTCAGGACCTCAGAAGGTCAGGTTAACCTCAACCTAGCTAGCTAAACAGCTCCATAACTTCGACAGAAAAACCACAACACTTAATTTTTTATAGCATTACATATAAAACAGTTTCTGCGCATAGTCACTATTCTCTATCAGTCTTCCACTGAACATTCAAAGTGGAGACCAGTCGTGTAGGGTTTACACGGATAAGTAATGCCTCCCTTTTAAGTTAAAACGTTACATTAAATATTTTATTAAATGCTTTCTTGAACGATTGATGCTAGAGAACGAATTAAGTCCAACCACAGCGATGCTGAGATATTTGCAAAACCCTGAACCGTAGGTGTCTGTGGTGGCGAACGAATGCGCTATTACCCTTTCCAGGGGCTAACGCGTTCACCACGACACTATGCGGGTCCTCTGTTTCGCCTGTCTCTCAGCTAGCACGATCGATTAGTGCCATCAGCAATCACCCGTCAATAGGGATTGATCTGTGGAGCCCACACTGGCATTAAATCCAGTTGAGCTGATGTGGTTGAAATCACAATGTTTACTTTCTATTCTCTGCTTAGTCCTTGGTCTGAGTAGTGCAGTTTTCGCACCGTTGTTATCCTTGTTTTTCTTTTTTATTATAATTGTCTTTAAGAATAACTCCAAAGCAGTTTATCATTAAAGTCCTCTTCTCGTCCACATCGAATGACAGAGCTCTTACCAAAATTGCCTCTTTTGAAGTGATAAAAGAATTTCTAGATTATACCTACGCAGATATTTAGATAGGCCGTCTTCACTGGTTGTGCGGGCTCCAGCATATTCTCCATTTCTTTGGAGTTTTGCTGGTTTACCCATTGTAGTTCCCTGGCTTCCCCAAATCAGCCAGGCCAAAGTCTGCCCCAGGTCGTCACCATCAGAGGCTGTCGCTGCCCTTGTGGATCAAAGGGAGATTTACCACCATACGACTAGTTTGATATCAGGACGCTGGTGGATCCTGGTATTGGTTTACTCGTAGCTGGGCTTCCTGGTTGAAACGCCGGATTCCTTTTCAGTTTGGGAGACCCTGCGGGTGGGATGAATCCCTGCGATGTACATCGCATCCCGACGCCCAGGAACAATCAGCAACGATGAGGTGGTAAACAGTTTGGAGGGTTTCTAGATTTCTAGACATTTCTGTACTATAGACAGCATTAATTTCAAGTCGTGTGCACAGCGCCACAACTGTTGGTAAACATATATAGGGGCACGTTGGGGGTGATCGTTTTCGTGGATCTGGAATCCCATTATTTTAGTCTGAAACATCAAGATTAAACAAACATGAGTAGCATAATGACAAGTAATTCTGACCGAAACAAGGAGACCTGAAATAATATGTATAGTACCCAATCACATGCAACTGATGTTGGTCAGCGGTAAGACACCGCTCTCAAGTTAAGATAGCTTAAGGAACACCGGCATAAAGCTATTGAAGAACCCACTTCCATTCAGCCTAATTATCGTTTTAGTTAGTATAATATGTCGTTTTCTTTCTCAGCAGTCGTGAGGTTGTATTCGGCACACACGCGTTTTCTTTCCTACAAGAAGCGCATATACAACACAACGGTAGCTGATGTTTGTGCAGTATCGCTTTCTTCAGAGCCTGGAAGGGTAAACTGATACGATATATATATATATATATATATATATATACTTAGATATATATGATAAGCATTGCGGAGACGATTTTGATATAAAAGTTGCTTTCCTCATCCGGGATCCTAGAACACCAACGCACAAGCTCCTTCAGGCGTTTTGGATAAGTGCTAAAAATCCTACAATGACTGACACAGAGGAATGACCCGAGATCACATGTGATCTCGCCCCTTACCTTCGTATCGATCGTTGATGTGGGGAGTGTAGTCGTCAACCATATGGGACTCTGAACGGCTCTTCTTCCTTGGTGGAAGACAGGCGAAAAAACCGGTGGGTTTTTCGAGAAGCTGCTCATCGTGTAATTATCGTGCAGATTTTCATTCTTCAGTTTGTGCTGTTGAAGCGTTTGACCTAGTAAGTTGCGTATTACTGTACCCTTCCAAGCTCTGAAGAAGGCGATACTGCCGAAACGTCAGCTACCGTGCTGTTGTATGTTCTTGGTGTAAGGAGTTAAACGTGTGCTGAATAACAACCTCACGATTGCTGAAAAAGAAAACGACACATTTATAATCCAATGCCGAGGTTAAGAGAAAGTCGATCTTGGGAACTATTAGTCAGTATACTTATTATCTCTGCTTCTTTTGCTTCCATAATTGAAAAATTATCTGGGCTTCTTTTCCTTCCATGATTAAAAGTTATGTAATTGTAACTAATGTGATCTTTGGTTACCGTATGTTAATTTTCGACAACAGTTTTTCATTTTCAGGGAGGTTTTCATCATGTTTTGAGTAGCAGTAAAACGACAAAAAAAAAGGTAGAGCTCTCTCCCTAAGGAATGCGTCATGCATTTGACTTTATTAAGCAACGTTTGGAGGTGATTGAATGCATATCTGGCCTTTACAATGACTCGCGGTGGCCCATCGATGTGTCGAGTCAGTGCTGCTATCCTTCCAGACAAGTCTGGTGCGAATTTGTCGACCCTGGAAGCATGGAAGGCTTGGTGAGCCAAGGGCGCGGGAATCGATCCCATGTGTATGTCGCAGAGCGCCTCCGACCATTGCGTCACACGAACCTTTATTGAGTAGCAGTAACTACAGAATTAAAAAATCTCTAGTTCAATTATTATCATCGTTATTATTTATTATGTTAATGTTCAGAGTTTAGGTTGCACCAATCAAGTGAGAATTTACGGAAATCGTCCGATAACCTGGGACTTCCTTCCACTGGTGAGAATGAGAAAGAGCCAACGCGAACACGTAGTATTAGCAGCTTAAGAGGAGGTAATTCACTCGAGGCCTATGGGACGTTTGATGTGGATCAACACCAAAAGTAAGGGATAGTAACATAGTTTTCCTGCTTTTATTTCCAACGTTGGAACTGTTCGTCTATTATAGGCGCTAGTTATTGAAACCCTTTGTTGTTTACACACACAAATATTTTGTCTTGACTGTTACTGCTAGCCGTTTCTTGTCCAGCTATCGCAGCAAACGATATTGAAAGAAACAAAACGGTAATTATACCCACAAGATGCTGAGACATTTGCAAAACTCCGGATCGCAGGTCTGCAGTGGGGGACGAACGCACTATTACCCTTTCCGGGCTAACGCGTTCACCACCACACCATGCGAATCAAGAAAAATCATACCGCACGCCGATCTCTTCAATGTTCAGTGTACTTCTTCAGTATTGGTAAGATCAGGAAAGCTAAAGAAAATTGATATTACTTCAGTTTCTAGCGCATTGTTTTGCTTTCACTTCTGTAAGCATAGTGCTTAGAAGTACTGTGTTTATTTGTTTGGAACATACTTTTCTCTGTTATGAACAGTTCAGTACGTGACAACAAATGAATGAAAAGTTATGGATTTCAGTTGTGCTTTTTCTTCCAGAAAACCTATGGATGGTTCGGCAGAGTTCTCTAGTAGGTAATTTTCAGCGTGTCATCGTTGACGCACTCACGATTGCTAGCTCGCAGTGCCGGTAATGTATCATTATTGGGTCGCGACAAAGACGAAACTCCAGCGTCGCGACTGCAGAATACTATCGACATGTTGAAGAAAGCAAGGCGAGTCCATTCAACACCTCCATGCTGAGGATCAAAAAAATTAGTAAAATATTTAGTAGCTTTTAATAACTTGGAAGAATATCTCGAAAACTTTTTTAGAACTTTTTGGAGTCTGGATGGAAAAAGACTACACTATGTGTCAAATAGAGCTCATTAGTGAACTAATAAGGCGATAATGCGCATTGATTCCAATTCGTCCGTGCCCGGAATCACTTCTGCTTTTCAAATTCGAGTGGACAATTCTCACATCGTCGTGGAGATTATGAATTGATGTAAAAACATTTAGAATCCTCAAATTTTTGCAAAGAGGACGTGAATTTTCCCACCTGACAAAACGCTGATTTTTTTGAGCTCCAGAAATCATTTTTTCTTCTGTCATATTTCGAACAAAAAGAGCGGTTGAGCAGGCAGAATTTCGTCGCAAAGGTCAGTGTGATGTTCATGAATAAATCATGACGCTTGTGACTTCGCACTTGCGTTGATAGTCTACAAGTTTATATTTACTCACTATTTTTCCCTGCGCTCGTGCGCCGCAGTGGTCGGAGACACACTGCAGTACACACGTGGAAGCGATCCCCGTGCCCATGGCCCATCAGGCCTTCCATCTCTTCGGGGTCGACAAATTGGTACCGGACTTGTCTGGGAGGATAGCAGCACTGATTGGATACATCGATAGACCACTTCAAGTCGTTGTAAATTCCGATATGCATTCACTCACCTCCAAACGGTGATTAATGAAGTAGAATGCACGGTGTCTCCCTCAGGGATTGATCAACACCAAGAGCTTTCCCACCACCGACTTTCTATTAACCTCGGCATTGATCAAGTAATTCTTCGTATTCTTGTTGAGCAAACACGATGTGTTACTTTTATTCTTTATTCACGAATAAGCTGACGCTTCGGCGGATTTCACCTTCCTCAGAGCCTGGAAAGGTCAAGTTGACAGCAATCTATTCGGCCAAAGACCTCCATAACCAAGCAGAGAAAACGCTAAACCAAAATTTCAATCACATTGAACACAGCGTTTTCTCTGTTTGGTTATGGAAGTGTTTAGCCGAATAGTTTGCTGTCAACTTGACCTTTCTAGGCTCTGAGGAACGCCAAATCCGCTGAAACGTCGGCTTATTCGTGAATAAAGAATAAAATAACACCTCGCGTTTGCTCAACAAGAATACGAAGAATTACCAAGAGCTTTATCGTTAATCCTTTTTTCTACTCTTTTCGTAAATTTTGCATTTGCATCAAGTCCTTTACTGAAACGTTCTTGAAAAGTATAAGAAGGAACGCCTTCTCTATATCCACAAGCTCTTTGAAATGTCCAAGTTGCCAAGAGAAATGATCAGCAATTGGCGAAACATCCGCTGTGTTGTAAACTTGAGAAGGCATCATGTAAGGTGTTTTGCAAAAATTCTCGGTATATGAATTCAAATTAAGTAAAAGTGGTAGAGGAGGTCAACAGGAGAAACCGTTTTTATGGCTTTTAGACGACACGGCTGACCATTTTTCGGTGTAAGGGTTAATGGCACCACATTTTGAATTATCGTTCATTATTCATGTTTTTTTAAAATGTTTTCACAAATATTCACTTTATAAGCCTGAAGTATTAAAAGACGATGAATTTAATTTGGGACGGATCTGTCGAATTGTGAGCATGAAAACAAGTATCTTCTTCGGTTGCCTTTCGCTTGTGAAGTATTTGAATGAAAAATATTTCTGAATCGAGTTATTTGTTTCAGCAACACCGACTTAACACAATGCTCACTTTACGAAGAGCCTGGAAGTCCATGCGGGGAGAAAATGCGCAGGCGCGGTGCTGTTCAGAAAAGGGTGACACATTAGTACTTCATTAGTCAATTAGTCCTCTTATTTCTTCGTTCGTTAGAACGTTCTTCTTCTTTAATCCGTTGTTTATTTTTTTTTCGAGCGTCTGAGATTACCTCGATTGCTGCAATCTTTCCTTCTTTCTTAATTTCATTAAAATTCCGGATTCTACTGTCTTCTAGGTTGAACGATATCATCCACGTCATCGAGCAGCACGGAATCAAACAAGCGAAGAGAGTGACAGTAACGGAAGTGACGCAAGTCCATTAAATCAGAGTATAAGTCGGCGACTTGTTTCATCTAATAATAGGTGCGTATATTCGTCTACAATCTATGTTCATAAGGTGTTTTCAGTAGCTGTTTAGTTACTGAAGGTTTTGGCATGTAGTAATTGTTGAGACGCATGACACAAGGCCATAAGTACTTTAGATGAAACAAGGTTTCTTAACACAACTTTTAAGCTTCTGCAGCGATAATTGGGGAAAGTGTGTTCGAATGTTGTTGTGCAAGAAAATTCCACTAAATTCCACACCCTTGCTTTGATTTTCTCTGTCAGTTTTTTACTCTCCTGGTCCTATCAGCAGTCACTCATCAATTTGTTGATGAGATTGGGTTTCCATTATCACCTCAAGATGGTCATTGTTTACTGTTAATGAAGGTTCAATACTGTTTTGCTCATCAAAACTCGTATTTCCAGACTTGTTCAGTGTTCACTAGGGAACAGGTCCTTTATCCCATATTTTATTTCCCATATTTTACAATCTGAGTTTCCCTAGCGGTTTGCCCAAATTTGAAAACATACGCCAAAACAGTTTAATTTTCTTTTCTTGAGGACATCATTTCAATCAGCGTGAAATCACTGCATAATTGAATTTTTTTTTTCGCCAACAAACTTTAACACATCTTAAATAATAAGAAGTGTTACGTGTATGTCCTGAGAGCTGTAGTGTAATTTTCTACTATGTCCGAATGTCCTCAGGTTTCCAAAGATTTTTGTTATCGGAAAATTACTGATAGGTGTTGAATAATATCGTCATTGAGACTATGGTAATACACTTCGATGTAATATGATATCATAATAGTAATAATGCGGTTAAATTGTAATCTTGACGTGAAGGGACTACTATAAATCTGAAGATATGACGTCGTAGCATAAAAATAGAATGTGCATTTACACTTGTCCGTCCTGGAGTTGGTTTACGAAGAAGTGACTACTCTGTTTTAATCCTAACTATTGCAACCTGCCTTTTTCTTTGCGTAGAACTCGTAAAATACCGTTACAGCTTTCCTTCAACTCCGACATTGTTTGCTGGATTTGTCTTTTAAGAAACTATGAAAACTTTTACCTGACGGGTGATTGCTGCGGCAAAGATCGATAGAAATAACTGAGAGACAGGCGAAACGAAGGACCTGCATGACGTGGTGGTGAACGCGTTACTCCCCGGAAAGGGCAATAGCGCGTTCGTTCCCCACCGTAGACATTTGCGGTCCGGAGTTTTGCAAATATCTCAGCATCATTGATGTTATATTTCGCAATATACCCTGCCATTAAAAAGAGTAGACAGAAAACAATAAGTTAAAAGTTGTGACTATCAGAACTTTGTTACTCGTCTCAAATATCGTCTTCGCATGAGGGATTTCGAGGCAGTTATTTGCGAGGGTATGTGCCGTGTCCTTGGATAGTAAAGTTGTGTGCGATCAAACGCTGACCTAAAGCAACAACTTAGCGTTGAGACGGATTTCTATTCAATATACGAGTTCCGTGTTTTGTTGCGCCGACTAAATTTATACTTTGGGTAGCCAAAAGCGGAGTTGTAACGAAAATAATGAAAATAGAAAATAAAATGATAAAAACTAATAAAGTGCATATATATATGCGGGTTGTTGTAATGTTTGTAAAATGAAGGATCTGATACGGACATTGTGGTTCCGTTTGTCTCTTTCGGGACAAGAAGTCCATTGGATTGCTTTAGGGTATAACAAGAACGAACGGAAGCTTTGCGGTACTCCCTTGAGTCACTCGATTGTTAATATTGACTGCACGTAATGCGATTAGCCATGATTACTAGTTACCTAGTTTGACCTAGACCTCATAGTGAAGGGAACGGCGACGGTGCTCTTCACGCGTCGTAAGAAGTCGTACTGCTAGAGGACGTAAGTATACCCAAGCGAATGTTGAAGGCCACTGGGTCAAGTCACCAAGCAATGTTTCCGTCCTCAGTAGCATTCCGCTTGGTTAAGATTCGCCGCACCTATTGCCGTGCCCGACGACTAGGAAGTGGTATCAGTGCAGGTCTGGCGCGCTGGAGCCCTCGAGTAATCCGTGATACAAGAGGTTGCATAACAGAAATAACAAATACAAATAGATGATTAGCACAGGACATGTTGAAGTGAGAGATAGAGAATTTGTCACGAGAAATACTCGTATAGACTTTATAGACGGTCTTAGGATTATTTCGCAACATACCCTGCCATTAAAAAGAAAAAGGCGGTAAATAAAAGGGTTAAGGTTTTAGGATTGTTTCATAAACTTGATGAATAACACCAGTATACTGCAAATTTAGATCAGTTTCAACAATGGATACGTCGCATCAAATCGAAAGTGAGTCTACCGGTAGCCGACGATTCTTCGATCAACCGCGATGCACAACGACTCCAACATTTCTTTCTAGTTCTGCACGGCGAGCTACTAATTATTTGGCCCAAAAAATGGCAGAGTGGGTTCCACTTACAGTACCAAGATAAGAATTCCTCTATGGCTTTCTTGTCTTTTCTTTAATTATATAGTTCTATTCACATTCTACCACATTTTATCTTTTAGTACGTCGTGACTTAAAAATTGGGGTTTGTAACTACAATGAGGATGAGATGCTTGCGAAACTCAGGACCGTAGGTGTCCACAGTAAGGGTCGAATTTGCCGTTATTTTTTCCGAGGGCTAATACGTTCACTACCACACCATCCAGGCCCTTCGTTTTACCTTTCTCTTAGCCATGTTTTAACCTATAGATGGTATCAGCAATCACCCGTCAACGGGGTTGATCTGAGGAGCACATTGGCGTTGGACCCAGTCAAGCCAAAGGTGTAGTATAAATAACAATGAAGTCAGTTGTTTTATTTACTGCCTATTTGTTTTCATGGAAGAGTATATTGTAAAATATGATTGTAATGATGCTAAGATATTTGCAAAACCCCGGACCGCGAGTGTCTGCGGTGGGGATCAAACTCGATATTACCCTTTCCGGCGTCTAGCGCGTTCACCACCACACCATGCAGGTTCGTCGTTTCGCATTCCTCTCAGCCGTATTTTAACCTATCGGATTTCTTTATATTTAGAATATAGTCCAGATTTATTCCTCATTTTATTAAACTTGCTTGAGCTTGTTAAATGTTCGTTGCGGGAAACGTTCCGGCTCTATCCTTCTTATGCGCAGTGCTGATTCGAGACGAGTGTCTACGGCAGTTCTTCTTTATATTAGCTTTCTTCTTGCGGTATTCTGTTCTACTGAACTGGATTAGATGCGGCGACGATGATTGACGCACATGGCAATAAACTACACTTGAATAATCACGGCTCAGAAGAAGCTGAAATCCGGAAGCGTTAGCAACAGTAAATAACTGTAACATCGTCTATGCTTATAAATAGACCGAGGAGTTGATTATCCATGCCAAGGTTAGATGAAAACCAGTACCCAAGTCGTTTGTTTCCATGTCCTTCCGCCAAGTTAATGTTGTTGACTTAGGGGACGATACTTGTTGTCGCGAATGAATAGTAAGTCTTGTTGGTGATTGAAATGCTCTAGTGCTTTCCTCTAAAATTACCGTGATGTTCTCTTTCGCTTTCATCATGCCAATATTTTAACAAGTGGTAGATAATTCTGGTCCGTACATTTAAATGTAATTTGCTGAGACCCCTACATGAAGTTCCTATCTATTTTTGTTTTTACTAATGCATTTTTCTTTCGGTAGTTTTATTCCATGTTCTTTCTTGATTTCTCAAATTCCTAATTGAAGCAGGGTGGCTGCGTCGTTTTAGCGTGATTATTGCGAGTTTCATGGAACACACATTAGAGGTTTCCCACTATCTTGCTTCCAGTTATAGTGTAGTTGTAGAAGTTTATTTTGAGCGGTTCCTAGAACAAAAGCTTGGCTAAGTGGAGACTCAGAATTTTTCATTTTGGGTTGTTCATGTTCATGTCCAAAAAGTTTCTGACATGAAAACATGATACATTTACAATGAGGGCTATGGGATTTCCCTTTCTGACGTGAAAATATGCAAAATTTGCAATGAAAACAATAGGACTTTCCTGTTGTTGTTTAGCTTTAAATCATTCATTGTACTCTTTTTATGAATGCCTAGCAAAATCTGAAACATATTCGTCAAACGTTTTCCATGTTTTGGTAGAGTTTTTGTCTTAGATTGGATTGGGATAGTTTTGTACTTTGGCAAAAGAGACCTTCGACCTTCTGTATTATGTTTTTCCAACTCGGCGGTGTTTCACACGGTCGCTGCGCTCACTTTGAATTTCACGCAAATACCTGAGTTTTTTTTCGACAGGCTGATTATTGATTTTTCATCCGACATTTCCGATAAGAATCCCTTACATCGTCGATGTCATACTCTCAAAAATCCTGGCAGTTTCTTCAAATTTCACTATACCTTTCTGTTTAACTTCATTTCCCTCCAAAGAGAAAACGCCAATGAATTAACATTTGAGCCTTCAAAATTTGATACTTGAGCTATTTTCTAAATGAGCGAATTTAGTCACTTTTATGGCATAGATTTGAGCCGTAATAAGTTGACTTCGAAATACTGATGAGCTCGCATTTGCTCCTTTTTGTCAGATTTCCATCGTTTTCAGCGAAGACATGGTTGGTCCGGATCTGGGCAGCGACGATTCACCACGATCGTCACTGAATTCTTACGAATGGAATGCATTGCTGGAGGAAGGAGCAGCCTGTCAACGTCAGTTCCCCACTCCTAAAACTTCCAACCTAGATTTGTTTTTATAAATATTTCTTTTTCTTCATGCACCTTAGTGGTGGTTGGTTATTTAGTTGTTGCCTTGATTTTTGCTTCTGTCAAGACACCATGTTTTACTAAAAACGTGAAAATCTGAGAGGGACGATTTTAAAATTTTTCTTCGCTCTTCTTCATTCCTTTTTCATTTTTTTGGAAGACTATTAATTCTAGTCAAATTTCATAAGTCTAAAAAATAGAGTTGCTTGGAGTATAATCTCTGAAAAATGGTTAGCTTAATCATATGAAGCTTAGTCGTGTAATGCAATCCAGAATATCATTTCTGCTTTTTCAGTTCTCGGTTTCATTTTGATCTTGTATCTGGTTTGTTTTCAGAACTTGTGCGTCATGTCCAAGATTGTTTTGAACAATTGCAAGTAAACGTAGACAAAGCCGTGCAAGCCCGTATGCTGGTTCGTTCTTTTTTAGATTTTTTGAAATGAATTGTTTTCATATTGATGCTGAGATATTTTGAAAGCTCCGAGTGCGGCTACCGTGGGGACTGAACACGCTATTACCGTTTCCGGGGCCTAACGTTTTCACCACCACACTACGCGAGTCCTTTGTCTCTCCTTTCTCTTGGCCGTGAATTGTTTTCGTTGTTTTTTCTGATAACATTCAAAATAGTCAACGTCATGTACTTTTTCCTGTCTGATGAGAACCTATGAGGTTATGAGACTTTTCCAAATGTGATCGTAAAGCAAAAACATGCTATTAATGTATCCAAATGGACAAATCGCAATTTTATCAAGGTACCAAGACTTGAGATTGAATAATCGTGAAAACTTATGACGAACTAATAGTTATCCTTTCCCTCTGCAGTGGTGTGATCAATAGATCCGCAACTATGCGGGCTTTTTGTTAACCACAGATAATTTTTCGTCGAGTAGAGTGCATTGGGATTGAAGAGAACTCATGGAAGAAGTGTCATCATATCGCTCTAATTATATCTGTAGTTTTCTAAGAGTTTTTTTTAAAAGTTTGTTTGAAATCAAAATTTAAAGAGCGAGCCAAGTGATGCATCAGAATTTCTAACAAAGTATGGCACCTGATCAAATTTACGACGCATTTATGGACACCATCGTATCTTCCTGGACAAAATTCCCAATAATCAGTCACGTTGTCTCTCCAAATATGTGCTCCAAAGAAAAACGCAAAAGGGAAATGATTTTTGAGCCGTAAAAGGACTGGAATTTCACCATGATGGAGTAGAAAACTTGTTGATGAAGACATGTAAATTCCAGTCGTTTTTAAATCGATCAGTGAAGTAAAATTCCTTGCGAACTGAGATCCCATGAGACAAAAAGGGGCAACGACGTATGTGTCCGTGTAGTTCACTGCAAGTCGAAATTTGTTTTATTAAGAATGGAAAGCATATTTACTTTCGCCGACGTGCATTGAAATGAATTCGTATCGTTGCGAGTGTGTCCGAAGTGTGATCTTAATCGGATTGAAACATTGGACGCAGTTAGAGAAGCTTCTCAATGCACTTACCAAATGCAAATACTACTGCATACATCCAATGGCCCACTTGCTAAATCCTCGAAACTATAGTTGAAATCCACTTGAGAGCCATTGTTTGTGGTTTAGGACTATTATGCACGAAGTATTCATGACTATGAAGTTTTTTACATAAACTTGAGGAAGTGTGAGAAAAAAAATTACTGTCCCTAGATGAAATTTTACCAAACACTTCGATGGCCCGTACTCATATGGTATGCTCTTACATTACATTATAATTGAGCGCGCATTTCACTGAAATTTCAAGGTAGCTGTGTTGAGGAGTTCATTGGTCCTCATCATTCGCAGTCGATCGGTCGATTATATTCGATATAGTAGGCGGGACTATATAAAGCATCAACGGTGTTGTAAATAGTCTTCGAAAGGTTTTAAAGTGGACTTTTCGCAATCGTAAGTGTTATAATGAGTGGAAATATTAATATTTCCACGACTGCTTGTTTAACTGTACCGCTATTCCAAGTGTGCGCGTGTGACACAGTGCTTGGAGACGCCGTCCAACACACACGTGGAATCGATCCCCGCCCCATGGCCCACCAAGCCTCCCATTCCTTCGGGGTCTGCAAATTGGTACCAGACCTGTCTGGGAGGAAAGCAGCAATGGCTGGATATATCGGTAAGCCACTGCGAGTCCTTGTAAAGTCCAGTTATGCACACCTTTAAATGATGCTTAATGAAGTCGAATGCATGGCGTCTCCTTCAGGGATTTATCAACGCCGAGAGCTTTATCCTTTTATTCCGAGTATGATCCTTTGCGAAAAAAAACATACTGCGATTTGTGGGTTTCAAGAACTGCATCATGGTACAGTGAGGAAATTTATATACTTTTTACAAAGATTTAAGGTCCTGATAGTTTTATTTCAATCTATCTACTCTGGAAGTTAAATTTGTTTCAACTTACATGTGGGAAAAAATTTAATCTTTATACAAACATGTCTCAGCTCAGAGTGCGCGTTATCAGTTGAAATGAAAATCGTTAGCCTCTACGAGTCCTTATAAAAAGGGAATCAGTTTATCCTACCATATCATTTTTTGGAACTCAGAAATAGTTTTGTTCTGGTCTTTCTAGCCGGAACTCTTTTCTTGGGTAGCTAAGCAATTTTATAAATAGGATTTCGTCCAGTAGGATCATGATAGGTTCTCCAACACACCATTGGTTTCATTAGAAGTTTTTAAAACCTAATTTTCTTTTCAAGGGTTTGATTTCTTGAGAATTTTATTTCTAAACAAGTTTAACAAGTTTAGAATGCTGGAATATTTTGTACAAGCTACATATGTCCTTAAAGTAATAGCGTCTTCCTTAGGCCTTTCCTTAAGGTAATAATCCTAAAGTCTTTTCTGTTCCACTATTCCATTATTGGTGCAGTATATTTTGGACTACGTTTGATAGTGATGCCCGTTATCACGAGCATGGTATCGGTTCGATTCTGCTCCTAGCCAACGAAGCCCCTCATCCCTCCGGGGTCGGAAAATTGGTATCGAATTTTTCTGGGAAAAAATCACTCTCTGTAATCCAATTGGGAACGCTCCAGCCCGGCCATCTCAGGACTCCAGGTCGACTAACATTCTACGACATTCAAGATGAAATGAAAATTCTCAAGCAACAACCGAAGCTACACGTGAAAGTTGGAGGATCTTCGTGGGCAGTGGATGCGAGGAAACGAATTGAATGTGAAAAGTGCTGGAATCCGTACAGTAGACATGAAGACGGGTCAAATAAAAATAAAAAAAAAACAGAATGTTTGAGATATGAATTGAATCGTCGCGAGTGTTTTAGAAATTATGTGTTAAGGTTGAAGAGTCTTCGATGACTTCTGAGCAGAAACGTGTCATGATGGCTCATATCGAAAAGATGACGCAGAAGATGTTAGAGAAACTTATACCTGGTACTCGGTGCGTTTTCGATTATATTTCTTAAGTTTTGATTTCCAGTATTTTTAATTATTTATTTCCCCTTTGCCCTATTGCCCTACACCCTTAACACTTTAGATTGGTTGTACGCGAAATACTTGCCGTATTGAGTAAGAGCTAGTGTCAATGATATTTCAAATCTATCCACTTATTATTAATACGTATTTTGACATATGCATTCCATTTATTAGGTTATAACATATGAAATGTCCGATTTTAAATTGAAATTTAAATAACCATAACTTTTTTCTTGTTAATCTTTATTAATCCACAGAAACACTATTAGAATCAGCATATTTTTTACAACAAGAAACAAGTTTTGTGATTCCAATTTTAAAAAATTTTGGGCTTTGGTTTCAATAAATTTTTTAAAGAGATTTTAAACGGCTGTTTGGTCGTTGAAGATTTCTTTCCGTCAGAAGTGGTCCAGATGCTTAAACAAACGAAAAACCGTTGGCGAAAAATCTGGCGAGTAACGCGGACGTGGTAAAGTTTTGTAGAGCACCTCATTCAGCTTTCTTAATGTCATTTAGGAAACGCGTGGACTCGAGTTGTCATGAAGCAATATTGGCCCTTTTCTATCGACCAGTGCCGGGCGCTTGACGCGTAGTCTTCGATGCGCTTCTTCGATTTCAGCACAGTATTTTTCTGACGTAATCCTTTCGCCAGGTCGTAAGACTTTTCAACGAATTATACCGGCCATTCACCACTAGACGGAAACCATTGTCTTCTTTCGTTGCAGAATCGGTTTAGGCACGTTTCGTGGGTTCTCATCGGCGTCCAGCCATTGTGCGGAACTACGACGGTTATCGAACAGCATCCAATTTTCCAATTTTCCTTGCAAGTTATAATGTGATTCAAAAATTGATCTCCATCTTCGCAAATCAGTAGCGGATTGGAAATCTCCAGACGTTGAGTTTTTTGCTTCTCTTCGAGTTCGTATGGAACCCACTTGTCCATTTTTTTTTGCTTTGCCAATCAACTGTAAGTGACCTGAAATGGTCATAGTACTGACTGTATGCACTCGTAAGTTCTCGTACCGTTTAACGTGGATTTGATTCGACTAGAGTACGAAGTGCTCCTCGTTAACCGTAATCCGTAATTTCTGCCCTAACACGCTCGTCGTTCGCAAGGCTCTCGTTTTCGGATTCAAACTTTCTGTACCAACGACGAACGGTGTGTTCGTTAACAAAACCGCCTCCAAACGCGGTGTTGATATTCAGAGCTCCTGTCGCGTCCTTACGTCCATTCTTCCACTCATACAAGAAGGGACAAGGATATCACGTTGATTCATATTAAAATTAAAGTCGGTAAAAATGTTAAAATAATAAGTCTTGAGAAACCCAACACTATACTGTATATAAAAGTGTAGACTTTGTGCTTCAAAAATATGTATTAAACATACATAAAAACAAAGTTTTTACTTTAAAAAATTACACGGAAAGTTAAGACCATGAAATCGGATATTTCATATGTTACAAACTAATATTTTCCTTGGTTGTGCATGCAGTTCTCATTGAGCCAGTACGCATCATTTCTGCAGTAAATCGCTTAGCACATATTTGTATCTGTTCTTTCAGATCGCCGAGTTCGCTTGAGGACACCAACGGTAACGGCTATACGCCCATCAAAAATCCACAAACTTGTGGAGCTATGAAGACGAGCCTACTACATTGATCACTTGTAGATTGTCTGATTATTCCGTTCCTAACGAGCTCTAAATCCTAAATTCCATGACGTCTTCCTTTAATTTTTTTTAGATAACGCACTCGTCTTCTACATTTCTAATACTATTCATTATTTTTGTGCAAAATTCCAGTATTCATACATTAGTAATTTCTGTTTTTACATTAATAGACCAGTGATAGCGCTATGCCTTGTATCAATTCATGCTCATTTCTGCATATTCCTATATATAGGCAGAATTTTTATCTGACCCTAACTTTGCTTTCGACATTGATTTATCTCATGCTCAGAATATTGGATTTAATTACTACTTGTTCCCTTGCTCTTCGACTTGCAAGCTTTTTCTGCATTTTGGCGTACAAACTTAATATCTAGTATTTCTAGCTTTGTTTCCTGTAAAATATAGAACAAAAAGTAACAGCCATTACGGTAAGTCGTTGCTAGTACATTCAATAAATGATAAACTTAAACTGTAGTTGTAAGCTTCTGAAAATCCGACGAAACACACCCAGTGTGGTTTTCCATGCGGTGCTTGTTGGTCAGTGGTTGCTATATGCTCTCATTGTTCACCAGAAGAATAAATCCGCTGATCCAGTTCATTTATTCTCGGAGAAGAATTGTGAGCGGGATTTCTGTACGAAAGATCCTTAATGATGAACTTGTGACAATCACAAAAATAGAGGAAAACGTGTAGTCACAAATAATTGTACTTTTGCATTGTGCTTTATTGGCTAATCACCGAAGGTCCCAGTTCTTCCTTGATTTCACTGCTTATCCTTGATGAGCAAACACGAGGTTGTTATCAAAGCATTTAATAATACACAATGGCCGGTGGTTTTTCCTTCTTTAGAGCTTGGAAAGGTCAACTGGCACGCAGTCTACTCAGCAAGGCACCTTTGTAACCTTAACAAATAAGACTTAGTACAGAAACCTTTATTCGGGCAGCAAACAATTTTCTTTTAGACATTAACCATTTTCTTCTTTGTTAGTCTTGATAAGTGTTTAAAAGAAGCTGCTTATTTTTCGAACGAAAGTTTATGGGTTTAAGTTCTGTTTGCTAAGGTTATGAAGTTCGGCTGAGTAGATTGCATGTCAAGTTGACACTTCCAGGCTCTGATGAAGGCGAAACCGCCGAAACATCGGCTATTCTGCATTGAAAAATGCTGTAATAATAACCTTGTGTTTGCTTATCAAGGAAAAATAGTGAATTATTGATCAGTGCTGGCGTCAGAAAGAGTTGGTCCTGGGATTTTTTCTTTCCATTTGTTCTGCTGTGTCATTCATGGAGATAGACTCTTGTGAGAGTCAGTTACATCTTTGAGGCGTTTCATGTTCTTTCCTCTGGCATATTAAATGTTGTTTCGGCGAGTTTTTTTCACAGGCAGTTGCATGCACTTGTGTATCTCAGAATGGATTATTGGGCTGAGATTACGATTCTAAGAGGACGACAACGACTCCTGAGATTAGTTGGTTGAACTGTTGAGAAATGTACAACAGGCCGAATCCAAATAGACTTATGTAATTAAAGCATTGCCTACACCATAATTTGATTGACACGATCAATACATGCAGAGATGTTGAGTAAGGTTGGCAGCAAGAATTAAAGCTGAGAAGGAAAAGGAAATGAAACAAATCGAATGAGAAAGTTGATGACCACATAAAATATATGGTATGGGGATCAATTTTTGCCGCACATTGGTTGAAAAAGATCAAGGAGGAAAAGGTAGTGGTTGTACAACGAGAGACAAAGGTCCATTTGTGCTGTGATCGCCTCATTGCTGTATGATGAAGTTGCTGCTCAGCGATATACGTATATTATGGTCGTTCCTGCAAACCTGAAACGTAAATCACTCCTGCCTTTGAATGTCTTGAAGACAACGCTAATCGTAGATTTGCACAATCCACTGAATATTTTGCGTATGTTGATGACTTATGAAGGGTGAATGGCAACACCAAATGAAATAATCTGTATGCAAAATAGTCAGAAATCTTACTATAGCAGATGACGGAAAACATTTATTTCAAGAAGGAGAATGGCCTCTATATTAACTGTTAAAGAGAGGAAAACTGTAGGAAAGGAATGTAGCCTTCTAAATCATCCAGGTAGTGTACACTCTATGTGAGGTTCCCTTCCTGGAAAGTCATTTGTGATCCATATCTCAACCCGAAGAACCAGTGGGGTTAGAAATTCGTTTACTGCGCTTACGTACTTCAAGAGTTTGAAAAATGAACTATGTCTTTCTTCAACACATTTTGTTTACGATTTAATGCCGTGTATGAAATGATGTAGACCGGTCTCGGCCATCTTGATGTCATAGGAATCACAACGTTCACATATGTATGTTCACCACTCAGTGTAAAAGGTAGGATGTTGATAGCGATTAAATCGACCTGATGTTTAAAAATAGTGAATATAATCTTAACCTTTTTATTTACTGCCTATTATTCTTAATGGTAGGGTATTTTTGTGCAATATAACTACTATAATGCTGAGATATTTGCAAAACTCCGGACCGCAGGTGTCTGCGACGGGGAACGAACGGGCTATTGTCCTTTCCGGGGAGTAACGTATTCACCACCACACCATGCGGGTTCTTCGTTTCGTTTGCCTCTCAGCTAGTTCTATCGATCTCTTTGTCATCAGCAGAAAAAATTAGCGGGTTCGCTCCCCACCGCAAACACCTGTGGTCCGGAGTTTTGCAAATATCTCAGCATTATAATAGTGAATATACCTCAACAATCTAATCTCGTTCCTGTAGTTAATCATTAACCCCCTCACGGTCACGAATGCATGATGCCTCATAAATCGTGGCCGTTCCTCCATCTTGCAACCTTTTCAGCATGCTGTTCACGGTGTTCGGAAATTTGTTACACCAACGATCTTGAAGTTTACAGTTCTTCATGAATATGAATATCTTCTGGACTCGCTCACCGCCAAAGTTGAAATGAAGCGTACATTTATCTCGGTTTTCTATAATGCTGAGATATTTGCAAAACTGCGGACCGCAGTCAACTGCGGTGGGGAACGAACGCGCTATTGTGCTTTCCGGTGAGTTAAAATGACGATGCGTTCTATTAATATTTAGTATTAAAAAAATAGGCAGTAAATGAAAAGGTTAAGATTGCGATTATATCTCGGTTTTTATCAGAAGGTGACGTGAAACCAGCCTTGACGGTGCGTTCTATTAATATTTAATTTTAATATCTTGGAGGTGTTGATTACGTAATTGCCGTAGTTTTTCGTCTTTTTGTAAGTGTTATTGAAGCGTTTGGCCTAGTAGATTGTATATCAGTATACCCTTCCAGGCTCTGAGAAGAAGGCGATACTGCCGAAACGTCAGCTAGCGTTGTATTGTATTGTGTTTCTATGGAAGTAAATGTATGCTGTTTAAAAACCTCGCGATTGCTGAACAAGAAAACGACACATTCATATTCCAAAGCCGAGATTAATAGGAAGTCGATTCTGGGAACAATTAATGGCTTAGTTCCTGTGGGCTATGATTATGTGCAATTTTTTTGTGACACTGCTTTTTCTACGCAGTGACAACATTCGTTCTGTACTCTGCTATCAATGCTGCAGACATCGCTATCAATTACAACACCCTTTCATGGCTTACTTGGATGTTATCGACTCCTTCGACAGAAGCTATGATGCGAATCGCTGTTCGCATTTTTCCATTGCAGTTTTGGCAAAATGTTGGTGAACTCACTATCAATGTAGCAGTCTGTTCTATACGTTATCAAACCACGAAGCTACCTTTTCACCGCTTCACTAAAAGTTGTCCAGTGTTTGAGCCGGCTAGGAAGTGCCGTGAAAAAAAAGCCGTGCAGGTAAAGCATTCTGCTGCGCATCGATTGGGAGATTGAATTGGTGGTACTGTGCGAAAGTAGGACGGCAAATCCAGTAAGATTCCTAGTGATTTTATGAGCTTGTCCTTTGATTTGTGCTCTACCGAATTTTTTGACATCAATTTAACATCAGGTTACTGTAGGAATATTTATAGAACTGCCTGTTAGATTCGTTCAAAATGTGATTAGTAAGAGTGCAAGTCGGCGATGGTTCTTTAAAACCGGCTTTCTTCAAATGAGATTATCAACAAACAAATTCCATATCAATTTTCCATTTTCCATTTTTTTTTCCATATTTCGAATTTTTAAATTCTATTTTATTCCTGCGATTAACTGGAATTCTTCTTTTTCTTTGTCCAAATCGAAATACATCATTCCATCCATTAAGAACGACGACGTTACTAAGCCGAATGTTGTGCAAGTAAATCTGAAATTTTCAAAGTTCCTAAGGAAGTGATGACTTATGTTCGCGCTTATCTAGAGCGAGTGTGTGCAGTCACTATAGTCATCATGAAGTACAACTCCTAGAACGGCCTTCTCAATATCGAGAGCGGTCTCAATACTTCCAAATATGGATGTACATTTTCAGTTCATTTGGTTTCATGACTTTTCTTTTACCACACTGTGTTTCTTCACTGGATAGCTAATGAAAAACAGATTAAAATAGGAGGGTGAGGTCAGAAAAGGCATTGTGTGCACTTAATGATGTAGGCCACGTCGAGTCATTCGAAAGGCCAATTCACAAAAACCTTTTTCGGATAAGTTCATTAACCGGTAATTTAACCAACAATTAAGTGTCCTTTCATTTTAATCATTATAGTTAATGTATGGGAAGTGTAGGCATGAAGAATATCTCGATGCTTCAAGCACCGTCTCATAAGACGGAAAGCAAAACTAGACGTCGTCTTCAGTAACTTAATGAGGGGTATAGCTTAGAAGGGACATAGATGTTGTAGATTTCGCCTTTCGTGCTCTAAAGGGTGCTTGATTGGAATGTGGAATGTGTTTAATAAACAGAGGAATCCGGTGAGTTCCATCGTTGGTAAGCCTCTTTAAGATTTATAAAAGAAGCTTTTCTGCAAATACATAGTTACATGTTCTCGACCAAAGACCTTGTATATAATACTACCATGTGGCGCAGT